GCATACATTTCTCATACGCAGCCTTAGTCTTACCCCAATGCTCGCCGAGCTCCTCTTTCATAATCTCTAATGAAATTTTGGAATGTTCGATCAAAGTCGTTGCGTTGAAATTCGCATTGAATTCGACGACTTGATCGGAACATCGCGTGAAAAGATTTAGAGCAGTCGACATTCTTTACCCAATTACAATGAAAATATGGAAAGAATAAAGAAGCAAGATTGCTTTGATTCTTAATAAATTACCTAAATGACAATGTATACCCGCAAAACCCAAACAATGAGTTGATCCCAAACAATGTAGAAATCAAAAAGAGTATGCAACAAAAATCTTTTAAATATAAAAAACATATGACAACTGACGTATCTGATTTTATTTACATATAATAGAACAAATTTCCTACTGGGATGTTTAATATGTATCTGTAAAGCTGCATATTTTACATATGTACAGACGTCTGCAAGTATTCACATATACACGCAATGATAGATGTTAAGTGTACTTTATATGTTTCTATGTACGTACGTATGTTACGCGAAAAATCATCCAAATAGAGAAACAAATCAACAAGAAAAAGTTAGATGCGTATATATGTATTGTATGTACAAACGTATGTACACATGCATGTTTGCAATGTTCTAATATCTAAAATTGCTATTAAAAATCACCGAAAGTACGCGTAAAGTAAAGTAAAACAAAAATGCAGCAATGCACTAAGTATTTTGTATGCAGAATTTGATATTTATTGTTCGGGTGATATGCTTCACCAAAGGAGCGCGTAAGCGAAAATTTATAAATACACCAAAGTTTATGATAAATGTAAGTACATACATATGTCTCACGGTAAATTTTATATATGCATGCATATACATATGTATGTGCCTGTAATATGAAATGCGAAAAGAAACACTGACCTATCCCAACTAACTGTTCAATAAATGTGCATTGTTTGCATATAAGTAATTAGAGGCGTACGTTTGTACCTATGTACATACTTACATACATATGTATTTGAAACAGTATGTACCAAGACAGTTCGCTAGAAGCTGGAATATATTGGAAATTCTATATACATACATACATATGTTTGTACGTATTTATGTATCCACTAAGAACCAGAGCATATATGTTCATGTATATAAGAATTAGCGCGGGAAGCGAATTGAAAACTCTGGTAATTATAAAACGCACAAGTCAAAAAATGCCAATTTTGAAATTATTGCTGGTTATTTTTGACAACATAAAAATGCAGATTTAATCAAACTTTAAAATGATTTAGTAGTAAATTGATCCACAACAAGCACTTACTTGATTATCTGGCAAATTTTATGAAAGGCGCTTATATTAACTCTTCAGTTAACCTCTTTTATTTTCGCTTTATTCCGCCATGCGTTTTTCACATCCGTATGTATTTTACATGCACACACGCCTACATACATGTACACACACATAAATCGGCTTTTTACCTATCAAAAGTTTGGTTTTCTTTAATTTTTGGTTCGTATTACCACGGCCGAAAAAAACTTCGCTTTTATTAAAAACTTAATGAAATTGCACTTTACAAAAAAAACCAACTCGCGCTGCACTTTTCTAATTTTTGTG